CACACACACACACACACACACACACACACACACACATTTCATTTTCAGTTGTCTTGGTGCATGTTAATAGTTTTGTGTGATACAGTGACATGGACATTTATAACAATGATAAGTAACAATATCTGTATTTGTAGTAATAATAGCTTTATGTCTTTAGCTTTGTCAATGACTGGATGTTAGCTTAGCTTTGTGTCTTTAGCTTTGTATCTTCAGCTTTTTTAAAGGCTGGATGTTAGCTTAGCTTTGTGTCTTTAGCTTTGTCAATGAGTGGATATTAGCTTAGCTTTGTGTCTTTAGCTTTGTGTCTTTAGCTTTTTTAAAGACTGGACATTAGCTTAGCTTGGTAAATGACTGGATGTTAGCTTAGCTTTGTGTCTTTAGCTTTGTCAATGAGTGGATATTAGCTTAGCTTTGTGTCTTTAGCTTTGTATCTTCAGCTTTTTTAAAGACTGGACGTTAGCTTAGCTTTTTTAAAGACTGGATATTAGCTTAGCTTGGTTAATGACTGGATATTAGCTTAGCTTTGTATGTAGCTTTGAGGGGCTACATTCTTTGTGCTCTGGATTTGTTTTTTCTGTTGTTGACTTTTCATTTGTTTCTCTGTTGGATTCATTTTTAATGTTTTCTCTGGTTTGAACTTTAAATTCTGACCTGAAAAGAAAGTGTATAGAAACATATGTACAGAAAGTGCACTGGTTGGTGGAGGCAAACAACTGCAGGGCTCCTGTTGTCGTCCATCTTCCTTCCATTAATCAACGAGAAACGTTTTTCATTTCAATTTCTTACTTTTTTAATTTGACTGAACACAAGGACAGTTTTCAGGCAGGAGAAATCTTCCAGTCACAAACAAGTAAGGACATATGACTTTTAACTGTGGCATGACAGGTGAGGAGACGAGTGTGTCACATGGTAACCTGTCGTCATGCTCAGCCCCATGATAACAATGGTAAAAGAAAACAAACACCTAAACAAATCAAAAGAAAAAGTTAACTAACCCACTAACTAACTATAACCACCTAACATTGATTACTAATTATTTATCCAATTAGCTAATAAGCCAATCCCCTGTGGCATCACAGAAAAAAAAAGAAATGTCACACCCATAACAGATGCTGTTAGCCAGACAGACCAGTTTCAGTAGTCTGTACTACAAAGCAGGATTTGTGGAAACTTCAGGTATAATTCAGAGTTTTCAGTCCTACAGAGCTGGTTCATTTCTTATCGGTGAAATCACCATGGTAACTGATGCTGAACAGCTGACCTGCTTCCTTTGAACCATGACATCATGTTCTTACCGTGGAGCTGCTGTGGATCGAGTCTCTGAGGAGGACCAGGGTCTTCAGAGACCCACAAGATCCTCTGAGATCCTCTGAGGAGTTTCTGAAAGATCTAGATTCTCCTCAGAGGATGAACCTTTGTCAGCTGCTGGAGCTTCAACAGAACCAACCTGACCCCTGGGAGCAAAGTACTCACAGTACCACAGACTGTCTACATGTACTTCACGTGTTACCTGTTCACTGTGGCTGATGCAGAGGAGCTCAACAAAAACACTGTGTTCCCTGAACATCTGTCCATGCAGACATGTAAAAAGCCATTTCATTGTACATGTGTGTACTAATATCAATATACAGTAGAAATAGAAATGTTGTACCTGTTGTAAAGATTTGAAAATCAGTCTACTTCCTTCTTTACAGTATATCTGTGTGTTTTATTTCCTCTCCAGCTGAGCTTGAAGCCACCAGGGTCTCACCTGAAAGACTAGAACTGTCCCACACAGTGACGATACATGTCAATGATGTGATGGAGACACAAAGGACTTCATATTCAGAAGCTAACCCTAACCCACTCTTGTTAACGACAGAACACTTTTACTATAGGTAGGAAAACCTGAGTTAACTTAACGAGTTGAAACCAGCGTCATGTCACCACTTAGCCTGACTGTGATTGTTAGGTTAAGTTCAGCTGGATAACTGAAAGAGATTCTGGATATGTTGAACCTGCTTCGTAGAACAGACCCTGAACTGGACTGTGATCTGGTTTACCACCTGTCCCTGAACAGCCAATCAGAGTCAGTCATACCTGATGTTTACATAATAATTTTAACATTGTGTTAAAGTTTTCATAAACAAATGAGTGATAAATAAATAAATAAAGATGAATAAATTAACTGAAGGTTGATCAATAGTTTAGTTTTTGACTCGAAAAGATTATAAATCTTCGTTCTGCCAATCCTCAGTGGCAGTGACATCAGAGCGTGTGCTGATTGGTAGGTTTCAGGATGTGGGTGTGGTTAAAGCTGCACTGTCATATGGAGGATCACGTCACAGAAAATTACAAGACACGAGATGTGTGTTTACACGGGATCATGTGAGTCAGTGAATGCATCACAAGGTTTTAACAGGACACATCTGGATTGTGCAGCTGTCATGTGTCTGTGTGTACGTGTCTATTTGTCATTGATCCGCAGCTTGAAGGAAACTCGTCCGGCGAACTTGTCCCTCTCGCTGCCGGAGGCGAGAGTGTTGGAGTTGATTTTACACTCGACGTTGATGTCTGTGTTCAGAGAGGCGTTCAGGAACTTCACGGCCACCAGCGGCTGAGTGTAGTTCACCTGAGGCATCAAACACACTCGTCAGGATCGAGATGAGACGCTGCATCTTTACCACATCAACGGTATTATAT